ACCAGATCGTTTGCCATTGAACTTAATTTTTAAATCATTTATATGACTTAATGGCTCTGCATGAAATTTTTAAGCTGGTGGCAAGATGAATAGCACCACAGAGACCACGTGGATGAGCACAGTGTCATTTACCTGGCCCACGCCCCCAACAAATTAAAGCTGAGGTCCTGCAATGTGTCCCAAACACTTCAACTATATTGTCATCACTTAGGAGACAAGTGCAAAAGATATTGGCATTTATAAGAGATGGATGAAAATTAGTTCTAAAGCATTAATTTCTCTTAATACCCCTAAAATAATTGTGTTCATTCAGGAGATATTTGATCTGAATTAAGAAACTGATGAAGCCACTGATTAATTGGAATTTAAGCCATCAGTCACTAGATCCATCAGCAGCTTCATTTACATTCTGAACAATCAGCTGATGGTCCAGTGGAACGCCCTGTATGAACAATCAACACGAGGACACCGGGTGGCTCACAGCCCACACTGACGAGCACCAGCTGCTTATGTCCACTCTGAACACGCTGCATGTATTGTGGACCTCCTCAATGGCTAAGGTTAAGATCTTTATTGTAACAGGCATAATGTATTATAAAGATTTTCTGAACTAAAACTGCAAAACAATAAAATAATATTCAAAGTGTTAGTAGATACACAAAAAATTCTGAACATTTGTTGTGTTTTTGAAAGCTGTGCAATTTAAAAACTGAAACAATTACTTAAAATGAAATACAGAATTTCCAAAGCTAATAATCCTTGATTGAAAGCAATACTATAACACAAACTTTATGCAGCTTAGAAGCTATCTGTCCATTTTATAAAGAGAAGAAAATAGTATGAAACACCAAAATGGTTTCTTAATATCTGCCTATAAGTAATTATTAATTCTTGCTTCTGGGTGGACTGGAACCTCCCTGCTTTGGGCTAGTAGCCAAGCACGCTACCGTTTACACCACCCAGGGACACCCTCACTACACTACAGATAGTAAATCTCCCTGCAACATGGAACACAAGGCAGAATCAGAGCAAAAGGAAGCCTAAGAATAAGCCATCCACTGGGATAAGATGCTATTTATCTGAGGTCAGCATGCTACAGAGGATCTCATTTGCCTAATGCTCTATATTCCTCTCAGGTTGTGCCATCTCACTGTGTCACACCCATGATGCCCTGAGAGACATTATGAGGGGGAAGTCCACCTCTGCTGTCAGGCTACAACCTCAGGGAATTTACATTCTCAACCCTCACCTTTCTCCTCTGAAAAATGGATAGAGGCCCATTCCACCCACCATACCACCACAGCTGTCTGTCTAAACTGCAGATGGGGCTGCCTCCTCTACTTAAGTCTTCCACGCGTCCCCAGCCTGCTCGGCACAGTCTGACCCAGCTTCCTTCTCCTGTCTCATCTCCTTGCATTATGCTTCCACACAGCCCAAACCAAACCAAAAACCCGCTGCCGTCAAGTTGATTCCAATCATAGCGACCCTATGGGACAGAGCAGAACTGCCCCATAGAGTTTCCAAGGAGCGCCTGATGGATCTGAACTGCCGACCTTGTGGTTAGCAGCCATAGCACTCAACCACTGCGCCACCAGGGTTTCCCCACACAGCCCAGGCTCCTCCAAATACCGTGCCCTCTTACACTTAGGAGACTGCTCACAACACCCCTGCTGTCACGACTGTGACGGAGGTCTGCCTGCAAAGGGACCACCTCGACTCCAGGCACAGCACAGCAAAAGCAAGGTCACTATGCCCTCCTCTGGTACCTGGCCCACCCTGGGACTTGCCCTGGAGTCTGGGACACTAGAGATCACGTAGCCACCAAGGACAGAAGCTGGGCCAGAGCAAGGAGAGACCAGGTGGAGAGAGAGGAGCCACATGCAGGAGAACTGAGGCATCCCAGTCATGACAGAAACACCAGTGAGGCCATCTCGGACACTCCAACCCCAGGTAACCAACTCTGCTGACCCTCTTCAGCCCCAGGTTTGGGAAGTCCACTAGCCAGCCTGCCCTCAGGCATGGCACACACCAGTAGAACCCCTGGATACTGCGGCACAGAGATGAGCCACCCTGCTGAGCCAGCCATTCAATAACAGAGCAGTAAGATGGCTTTCGTAAGCCATCACACTGTGGGGCAGCTTGCTCTGCTGCGACAGATGCCAAGCCCAAGCCACCCCACCGCCCTCTGCTTCCCATTAAAAGCTACAGCCAGGTATGTGTCATTTTCATATATGAAACCCTCCTCAGCTCATCTGGGCAAATCTGTCTGCTCCCTCCCCACAGCCCCGAAGTATTCTTTCTTCTAACCATTATAGCTTCTACAAAGTCCACATGTGCACATCCACAAATAGACCCCAAATTGTCTCAAGGTAGCAACTGGGTACTACTCCCTGTTGTATCCTAGGCAACAACTAGTGTCTATACATGACATGTGGTAAATAAACACTTGCTGAATTGATGAATAAAATTCCAACATCATCATCATATTAATTAGATCTCACATAAACTTGAATAAAAACACTCGGTGGATAGATAGGTTCTGGTAGGATCAGATGTTTTTAAACATATTATAGTCATCTTTTAAAATAACAGTTAGGGGGCAGGGCCAAGATGGTGGAAGAGTCAGACACTTCCAGTGGACCCTCTTACAACAAAGACCCGAAGAAACAAGTGATTCAATTATATGTGACAGTCTGGGAGTCCTGAACATGAAAGGCAAAGTTGAGGAATCAGACTGAGTGGCAGGGGGAGGGAGAGACTGTTTGTATGCAGCCAGGAGGTGCCAGACCTGACCTGGTGAGAGCCGGAGCCCTTCAGGCCTGATCAGCGCAGGGGTAAGCGGTGAGGCAGGCAAGCATCGGTGGTCAGGAGGCATATTCTGCACAGCCAGAGACCCAGCCGCTGAGAGTCTACTTGGCCACGCAGAACCAGTGAGAGACAGCCCTTGATCGCAGAAAGATAAGAATTTGCGTCTGGCCTACCACAGGGATCAAAAACACCCTCCTCAGGGAAAAACCTCTCTGCCATTTACCTCCCTAGTCCCTGCTCTGCACTGGGTCCCAGACCGGCTTCAGCAATTGCCGAGTCCTCTGGGCCAGAAGTAGGATTCGTCACACACCCTGAGCCATTCTCCCGGCCTTGGAGAGTGAACAAATTAAGAAATGGGAAAAAATAAACTGCTGGCTCCCCTAAGCCAGGAACTCAGGGTAGGCACAGCTCTTTTGCCTAGACACAGGCATAAGGGATCCACGGACTTTGAGTGCCTTTCCCCCTTCATAGACTTCTGTGGGCCCATTTCAACAGCATAGACCCTCATTACTGCAGTACAACATGGTATATACCTAAAGTGTAACTTCAACTGTTTCAGCTGTGAAGTGGCAGGTTCGTGACATTTGACTCTGCTCTGCCCATTAAGCAGGGTCTTCACCTACCCACATCAGTGGCCTGAGGACTGGTGGCTCCACCCATGCCACCTAATCACCTGCGATAGGGGCCCAAGAATAACAGGTGCCCCCCAGTCCTTACAGCCAACAGCACTGGGTGCTCATAGTCTGGCTACAAAACCCACCCACCTACACGTTCTAGGGAACAGGGACACACCTTCCTCCTGGACACTCAGGGGCGGCAGTCAGCCCCCTGCCTTGATCAGAGTGTGTCCACCTGTTGCAGCGAGATGCCTGTGCCTACTACACCAATCATCCATGCCTATCTAGGACTGTAGGTGAGAGCCTGCACTACACACCTAGTGGCTATCTACCTGGGCACCTGAGCTGAATCCACACAGGAGGAGTGGGCAAACTCCTGAGCTCACATACCTAGTAACAGATCTTATCACCTGGTGACAGGACATCAGAGCTTCAAAGGTGCCAATAATCAAACTAGTTCACATGCGCAGCCTGTTTGGACATATCAAAATAAAACAAGAAGCTAGGACACAGTAAGCAAACATAAAGTAAATAAATATAACTTATTGATGGCTCGGAGACAACAGTCAATATCAAATCACATAAACAGGCAGTCCAGGATGGCTTCAGCAAGCTCCCAAAACAAAGAATCAAGAAATTTTCCAGAGGAGGAGAATTTCTTGAAACTACTGGAGGCAGAATACAAAAGATTAATATACAGAACTCTTCAAGAGATTAGAAAGGAAATTAATCAAAATGCAGAACATGCAATAGAGGAAATTAAAAAGATTAGAGAAGAGCATAATGACAAATTTAACAGGCTGCAAGAATCCATAAAGAGACAGCAATCAGAAATCTAGAATATTAACAATAAAATGTCAGAATGAGACAACTCAATAGAAAGCCAGTCATAGGAGCAGAATTGAGGCCATGGAAGTCAGAATTAGACTGAAGATAAAGTACTCGACACCAACTTATTTGAGGAAAAATCAGATAAAAGGATTAAAAAA